GGCGGCCGGCGTGACGGAAACGCGCCCCAACGCAGGTGTCGTGGGAAGGAAGGTTTCCGGCTGCTGCGACCCGACGGGGCTGCGGCCTGACAGGTCATCTCCAGAGACTGCTGAGTGCGGGACTTCGCTTCCCGGGGCTGCCGTGAGAAAGCACCGTGCATGGAAGTAGACAGGGTTAAAGCAACAGAAAATCCTCCTCTCCAAGTCCTGGGGCCACAAGTCGAAACCCAGGTGTGGCGGGGCCATGCTTCCTCCACACCCTGTCCCGAGGCTCCTGGGAGGGGCCTTCCTGCCTCTTCCAGCCCCTTCCAGCCCCGGCTGCTCCTGCACCTGACGGAGCACCACTCTAACCTCTGCCCCATCCCCGCACAGCCTCCTCCTCTCTGCGCGTCTGTCTCCATGTCTCGTCTCGAGAGGACACCAGTCACCCCATGGGCACCAAGGGGAAGGGTGGGAGGGATAAATCAGGAGTTTGGGATCAGCAGACACACACACCTTATATAAAACAGATAAGCAACAAGGACCTACTGCAGAGGACAGGAAACTGCATTCAATACCACGTAGAAAACTAGAATGAAAAAGAATGCATGTGTGTATGTATGACTGGATCACTACGCTGCACGCCAGAAACGAAGACAACACTGTGAATCAACTCTCCCGCAACTACAAAGAGCCTGCCCTGCCCCGGGTGACCCGTCTTCACCCGCTACGCCTGCAGTGACGCTGAGACGGGACCTTCTTCTTCGGTCACAGTCGAGGGTCTGAGCTTCTGGGTGGACGTGAACAGGGAGGGGTGCTCTCCGGCCCAGGACAGCAGGGAGCTCAGTCCGACGTGGAGGCAGTCCACACGAGGCCACACAGGGCACAGTAGGGGCTGACACTCCAGTGGGAGGGGACCGAGGTGTCCCAGCTCAAAGGGAAACAGTGGGGACCCCAGATCTGACGCCCAGATTCCCACCCAGGTCCTGCCACTGGGCAACTGTGTGACTCTGTCAACACTGCTGAATCCCGCCAAACCTCAGCTGCCTCACCTTCAAACAGAGACACCACTTACAACGCGTAGGGGTGAGCGCTTTGGTGAGCGGCGGTCCCCTCCAGGCCAGCAAAGGAAGGACTGCGGGAGGACACCCGGAGCACGCTTCCTCACGCAGGCCATCCCGCTTTGCCATCAGTAACAAGAGCACCTTGGGGAACACAATCCCCAGCACCTCCACTCAACAAAAAATGAAAATTCTCAGCAGACACCGTGCTCCCCCTTGGCTGTCCCAGAGCCCTGTGGTCCTGAACCGGCCACACTTCCACCCCGGATCTACAGACAAAAATCTGAGTCTTGGAGCAGCTGCCCAGGGGTCCCGCTAAGGGTTGGAGCCGGGACTCACTCCAGCCGTCCATCCGGGCTCAGCACCCCTCAGCCACCCTGTGCTACCCAAGGGGTGGTTCTCTGCCGCCAGATTTGGTCTGAAGGGGAAACAGCCCTCCTGCCCTGCAGAAGGGTCCCAGCAGCACCTCCCCGCACAGGGGTCACCGCACGGGGTCCCAAGCTTATCTCCTCTGTCAGCACACACATCTGCATCGGCGGGTGGCAGGCCGGGGGCGGGGGGACCCCTGCCCAGGACCTTGATGCAGTGGGCAAGTGCAGCACCGGGTCAGCCCAGCGCCATCCCTCCCTGTAAGCAGGGATTGTCGCCCCATCCAACTCCCAGACTTTCTTCAGAGGAGAAAGGACCACATAAGACGGAGGTTGGCCTGAGCTCAATGGAGAGTCCAGCTCTGCTCCTGAGACCCCTCAGGGCCCGACGACCAAAGCTCGAAGCGCCAGGTGGCAGAATCCTATGCAGTCAGCAGGCCCTGACGCCGCCACCCGGTCCGAGCCCTCGTGTAAGGGGGAGCGCACGGAGCTGGGCGAGCCCAGAGCGGACCCCAGCCGGCCCGTCCATCTTTCGGCGCCTTCTGTCGACACAATACTGGGTGTCAACAGAGCCTGGGCGTCTCCCTGACCCCTGTGAAGCCATTGTAACTTCAGAGATGTGGAAAATTCACTTGCAAGCACAGCATTTTTGACAGTTTGGGAATTGCACTGGGAAGTGACTCAACTTCCTCCAGGACCCAGGCGGTCACAGCACAAAGGTGACAACTCCATCTGCCAGGACTGGGGCAGCCGGCCAGCTGCACCACAGACACACGCCCGCGGAGCCGCTCGGCGGAGGAAGCCAAGAAACGGCCCGGGGATGAAGGCTTCCAGACCAAGGGCGCGCTCCGTCCAGGAGCCCAGCACGGGGGAGGGGCACAGAGCCCGGCCAGAGCCCCCGCGCCCCGGGGAGACCCGGCCAAGGCTCACCCAGAAGGCAGGGC